TTGATTTGAGGCTATGCAGTGGCAGCTAAGGTAGAAAAGTGCTTCCTCCTGTGCCATGTTTTCTGGGTTCCAAAGGTCTGGAAAGCAGTTCCATAGCCAGTTACAGGGTTGCTAACCCTGGGTTGGGAAATACCTGTAGATTTGAGGGGTAGAGCCTAGGGAGGGCAGGGTTTTGGGTGGGGAGGGACCTCAGCAGGGTATAATGTCATAGAGTCCACTGCCCAAAGTAGCCATTGTCTCCAGGAGAACTGATCTTGGTCATCTGGAGATCACTTGTAATAGCCGGGAAACTTTCTGTAGGGGAAATGATGTGCTGTGGCTGGGGAACACATTGATTTCTGGGAGATCTCCAGGCCCCACAGGGAGATTGGCAACCCCAGTGAATGTTTAAGGGAAGATTGGGAGATATATTTTACCTCAGGACACATTCAATGACTCCTAACAACAACAGCAAACTGTTTAGAATGTTGGAGGTGAGGGCCAATCAGGCTACATATGCAAATGACCTCTGTGTCCCAACTGGCTGGGTGGGGGGGAGGGTAACACTGGAATGGAGCAAGGCCCAATCAGCCTGCATATGCAAATGTCCTTGAAAGGCTGGTCCAATCAGGTAGAAGGTGAGTCGTCGGGATCTCGGCTAGCCTTTTATAGATAAATAGATCCATCTATATTAGGATATATGGGGGAAAACAGGCAGAGTGTTGTTGTTGAGCATCCTCCGTAGACTTGCTGCCTTTCACTACTTCCTTGTATGATTGGACAGTATGGGTTGTTGCCTTATTAATGATGGAGATCTGCAGCACAGCAAAACTTGACACACAAAATTAGACTAGGAAGAGAGGTAAAGCACATCTAGACACTTGGTGTTCCTGGGAAGATTGCTTATCATCAGATGCATCTTTCCTCTTGTGTTAGGTTAGAGTTGCGATACTTTCCAGGAAACTTCTGTTTAAATACACAGCACTATTCATTCAATGCATCCAAATACTGATAAGCTAGTAAATATCTAATTCTGAGAAAGCACTTTGCGTTCTCTGGTCAATTATAAACAGGTGTATTTGCTCAGTTTCTCTTAAAGGTCCAGCATCTTTTAAATTTCCTGGAAATTCAGCCATTAACACTTTTGAAACTATCCATTTCTTCTAGAAATAGATCTATATGGAAGTATATCGTCAGAGACCAGGTAAAAAATAGGATACAATACAATAGGATACAACAGTACAAAAAGGATAAATACGAATCTGCCATAAATATACTATTAAAATGTACATCCAGTTTATAATTGAACTATATATATTAATAACATTGTATACATATGGTCATTAATATATTGGCTCGTCAAGATCAGAAAGCAAAGTTCCTGTTTAAACTATTCTTCTGTTTTATCACCTGGGCATAGAACCTAGCAGACACTCTAGTAAGAGGTATATGTATACTTCTTCTTTGATAATAAGAAAGAAGTAATGGGATTAGTGGACAAAAGCAAATTCACTACCTGAACCTTCATCTATGAAGCTGGAATGATCGTCTGGTTACATTCACAATTTTGTTAATAATCACTTTTATCAATAAACCATGTTACATAATAATTTGGGGGGTTGTATTTTGTGTGTGCGCACACGCAGCTGTAAGTCATGGTGATCTCTGATGACTGGCTGTGTATGCACCTGGAAGTCATAGCGACGTCTGGTGACTGACCTCTACTGGGGTGGCCTGGAAGATATTCAGAGAGGTAGCTGAATGAAGCCTGCCCCTGCCTCCCAACTGCTGGTATTCTAAGGAGGTCTCCCATCCAAGTACTTGCCAGAGTTGACCCTGCCTAGCTTCCGGGATCTGACGAGACTGAGCTTGCCTGGGCTGTCTAGGTCAAGGCGGTACATAAGTTTTGTCTTGTTCGTTCCTCTCAGTCTTTCAGCATAAACAATAACTGCTCTTTATCCAGAGTACTTACCCAGGTTCATAATCCTTAAACTGCTTTTATTCTCCACTGTGTTCTTTTTCTTTTTAATCCCCGGAGGGATATTTTTTTATTTTGCAAATACTACAAAAACTACAAAGAAATATTAGGGAAGGGACTACAACTAAGGATAAAGGAAAGCAAACCACACTAAACTAAATCGCCAAGAGGAGGAGATCTTTTCACTGTTAGTAAAAATGTTAGTACAATTAGTTATAATATCACAATATACGTGTAGAGTTCTTGCTTATAACGATTCATTATTTATATGTTATTTTGTTGTTATGAGAGAAGTCTCTGATCATCTTCTTTAACATCGCTTCAAAAGGCCATTTTCCAAGTCCTTCTGCCTTTACTTCGGTTTTCTGTCTCTAAAATCGTATACCACTCTGGCAGGTCTAGCACCCTTTTCTGCCGCAGAATCCTTATCCGTTCCCAAGGTAGCAGAGTCACTAGACTTCATTTCTTCCTCTTTGGACTCTTTGTCTGTCCCTAGCTGACGTCTCAAAAATTCTTTAGCTTTAAAAGTGGAGTCTATCTTCTCTCTTCTATCGTTGATCTTAAAGATGACCCCCTCCGGAACCGCCCACCTGTACGATATCCCATTAGTTTGAAGAAAAGAAATTAAGTCCTTATAATTTTTCCTCTTTTGTCTAATTTCAAATGGAATGTCCTTTAAGGTTTTGATGGTTACGTTTCCAATTTTCAGTGGAGTTGCTGAAGTTGCTTTTAAAATGGCATCTCTGGTTTGTCTTCTTACAAACCTGACCACTATTTCTCCAGGTAGGTTATTTTTTAAAATGTAATTGGAGTATGCCCTATAGACTGGCTCCATTTCGTTTACCAGTTCATCCACTGTTAAACCTACTACTGGAGCGATGATCTCACCAAGCACCCTCTTCAAGTCTTGCTGATCCATTTCAGGAACCCCCTGAAACCTGAGAATCATGTTAGCTTTTCCCATCTGTAGCTGCAAAACTCAATTCTCTTGGCAATTCTGCTTCGTTTCCACCTCTCTCAACCTTTTCTTCAACTTCTTGCTTGTGGTGTCTGTCTCTTTAATTTTTTCGTTTGCCTGCTCCACTTTTTTCTCTGTTTCGTTCAGCTGAAGCTGCTGTGCTGCAAAGTTTTTAATCATTACGGTCAATTGCTGGTTAATACCATCGAGTTGCTGCATCACCGGCTTGAGCATATCCGCCAGGAGTTTGAGGACATCTGCTCCCTCTTCCGGTCTCGGACTCTGACTGCCTGGCTTCGTTTTAAACTTTCTCTGCTGGACCGCCATCTTTCCTGTTTTGTTTACAGTTTCTACCGCTTCCACACAACTCGGAAAACTCGTCAGACAACTTCGCAATTCAGATAAGTCTCTCAAAACACTTTCAGTTTACTTCCTCCCCTCTCCCCCTTTGTGTTCGTTAGCCGCTCATTTACATAAGGCGTCCCTCTTTGCAATCACTGTTTTCAACCGCAGGGGGGGGATCGCTTTTCAAACTACTCCGTTTTATTCAGAACTCACGTTCATTGTCGGTCAGTTTATCTGACCACGCTCGGTTTTATGCCATTCCACTTGATCTCCGGTGCTTGTCCCGGTCAGTCCAGCTTATGCCCAAAGGCCACTCAGCGACTGGACCATCGGGGCGGAGGGGAGCCTCAATTCTCCGGCATTGCGCCATTGAAGAGGCTACCCCCCAAAAGCCCCCTGGCCTGGAGCCTATCACAAAGGCTCCTCGGGGGTGTCACTTGAGGTGGCACCCCTCCAGGCCGCTAGTCTGGGAACCGCCCTTCCCTGTTGTAGAAAGAGCGTCCGCCATCGCTGTTCCATAGACCCCGGAAGTCCCTCTCCACTGTGTTCTTGTAGGGAGAGGGGTTATTATAAGGGAAAGTGGGATTGATGGGTTTAGTCAAGAGATTGTGCTTGAGAACCTTTAGCTGTGAGTATTTGAGAACATCTGGTTGATGCCTTGAAATCTTGCCGCCTGTTACTCC